TTTTTTTTTTTTTTTTTTTTTTTTTTTTTTTTTTTTTTTTTTTTTTTTTTTTTTTTTTTTTTTTTTTTTTTTTTCTTCTTTTTTTTTTTTTTTTTTTTTAGTTATCAAAAGCTTTCAATATGAGCAAATTAAAGGCAGCTATTATGTGGAAACATTCACAAAAATTAGATTTCAGTGAATTGCTTCTACCTAATTTTTTAGAAAAAAGTACTGATAGTTTAGAAAATATGAGCTATGAAAGTCATGAATTTGACAATAAACCTACAGAACTTTGTGAAATTAGGTCAGAGTCTGAAGAATTTGAGAACCTTATTATAGATGAAGACTTGGATAATGAGTTGTTAGATTCTAATTTCTTAAAAGAAAAGTTTGGTGAATTTTTAGATATGTAAATAGAAATATCAGCGAATAAGATTGATATAGAGAAAAATAATAATTATGAGTTACCTTCTAAAATTAAGGACATCATTCATCTAGACATAAATCCTGTTGCTAAATGGGATCTAAAATTACTTTTTAATGAGTTACAATTACTTTAATTATATAATTCTAACATCTTCGGTTGTTTGATGTATAATCTGTTTAAGAATAATCATGCAATGTGTAATCATTATCTTTAAAAAATCATAGTAAAATACTCTAACTTTTTTAATACTTTATATTATTCTATTCAAAAATTCTAATAATAGCATATATTTAAGTTTATTAAAAAAAATATTTGCATCTATTCATTCATAGAAAATAGCTTACAGAAAACAAATTTACTATATAAAGGGTTAAATTATCTATTTAAATTAGTTTATTTTTTATATAAGGTTAAGTTATATTAAGTTGTAATGACACATTTTGTTTCTTTTTTTTAAAAGATGATCAAATTTTTTTTTGAACTATGCATAAAAAATTGACAAGCAACAAATTAATCAATTTTTAAGTTAAAAAAAAACTACATTAAAAAAACTAATAAATGTTCATTACCTAAATCAAGCATACTAAAATGCTTTCAATAAATTTATTAAGCAAAAAGTGCATAAGTTAAAAAATCAGATCATTTAAAAACTGTATAACTCTAAAAGTAAAAGTCTATGTCATAATCAGATTATGTTAAATAACATTTTTTTAAAGTTGATAAAACAATACCAGTACAGTGATCTGTTAAAAAATCAGATCATTTAAAAACTGTATAACTTTAAAAGTAAAAGTCAATGTCATAATCAGATTATATTAAATAACATTTTTTTAAAGTTGATAAAACAATATTAGTACAGTGATCTATACAAATTAAAAGATCTAAAACTACATTTTACTAATAGTGCAATAATATTTGAATCCTATATATCTTCAAATTATTTGAGAATTAAAACTTTAGTAACTATTAGCAAAGAATTAATTCTGTATTATCAACTTGAACTAGCCTATCTTAAATATATTGATGCTTTATACTTATCTGTAAAATTAATATAAATAAATAATGTTAATCTACTAAATAATATGAAACTAAATCTTCATGAGACTAAGTATTCTATTATTAGTATACTGATTAATATTAACATTGTTGTTTTCACTTCTTTATTCTTGTGTTGTTTTTAGAAATCGTATGTTTGACATCACGTTTGCAACTAATCTATAAATTTTATGAGGTTCTGCACTGTAGATATTTAATTATGTTCCTCAAACATTTGATTGGTCAATCTACGAACAATGTCCACCGAACATTGTCATCTTTAAACATAGACATAGACATCCGGTCTGGTCCATGTCCACATGACAACACTGAACTAGATTATAATTAGATATTAACAGTGCTATTCTATTGATAAAAATTATATTCTATTCTAATTTCTATTGCTCTATTCTATTGTTTTATTTATTTATTATTGTCCGTCGCTACACTCTGAACACTTAATTTCTACACATTATGTAATACAAAAGTTATGTTTTTGACCATGAAAAATTCTTTTTTGATGCGTCAGTATAATTATTTTAATCAAATATATCAATATCGTAATTTGGAAATTTTTTGTCTGTCCACATGTGTGATGCATAATTGCAAAATTATTTTTGAACAACAAATACAACAAACAGGTTATTGATTAGTAATACGAAATTCATAAGATATTTATTTATACTGTATTTATTTAAGCATAGATAAAGTTCGATTTTATTGATTGATGACGATCAGCATAATTAAAAATTCTGATTAGCCAATTTAAACTATGCTATTTTTTACTATCACTAATGTAACAGCAGAGACAGTGCCCGATTTAAAGTGAGTCCCTTTTGCCTGTGATCAATCACAAATTAAATTATTTGTTGGATTCAATTGTGATGGATATAATCCCTCACCAGTTTTAATATATATGTAACTTTAACAGTCTCTGCTGTATCACTAACATTATTAATGCTACTATCACTACATATTGCTATTAACGCATTATTTTAAGTCGAGATTAAAGTTTAATATAAACGTTGAGACTAATGCAAAACAGCAAGGATAAGCCTAAATTTTTGTCCTGAAAACTTTTACTTAATAGTTGAAAGCTAGTTGGCATAACAAATTTTATAATTTTATGATTTTTTTGTAGTTTTTTTTTGAATTTTGTGTGTTGCATATGATCTTACAGTCAAATTAGTTTTTACTTTACTATCACACATTATTATTTTTTTTAAATCTTAAAAACTTTTATTGAAATAAAAAAAAACTTTCAATATGGGTATTCCGAAGAATGAAAGTCCGTGTTTAATTCAAAATTGTGATATAGAAAGTGGCTGTTTTCACCAATTTACCCAATTGGCATATGAAAAAGCCCAAAAAAAGGAACCTACGTATTTTATAACTATTTAACAATTGGGCAACAATTGTGTACTAGTCATTATTTGTGTATTGTTGAGTCTAACAGGCATCAAAAGGCAAAGGTTCCTATTTCTGACAACAAAAACTTGACCAATGATAATATAGTACAAGGTAACAACCATAATGGTCAATACCTTAGTCTTTGAGCAAGATAGCTAACACGTGATTAGCACTCTGTGCTAATCATGTATTAGTTATTCTTCTCTAATAAATTTAAATTTTCGGATATGATCAAATTATTTTTATTAAGTATTTTGAACCAATATTTATTTAGAATTAGTAGATTATACATTTTCTGAGCAATTTAAAATGCTTACAAACCTT